TGCATTCTGGAAAGAGAGCATTTCCAAAATCAAATCAGTCAGTCAATCGATTATATACTTACTTCTACAGTCAATATTACATCCATTGGTAGCTCCTGCTGTCTTTCCATCATTGCACCAATATTGGCTGTTAATTTGAAATAGTCCATAATCTCTGCTTCGTCCATTGTGGTTTATTGCTGCAGTGTTGAAATCACTTTCATGTTTCACAAGACATACCCCTGTGTTAATTAAAATAAATACATTATTCTGATAAAATACAGATGTATAGTAACCACTTCCTGTTCGGACACTTTAACCCCCTTCCTGTCCAGGGCAATTTTCAGCTTTCAGCGCTATCACACTTTGAATGACAATTGCGCTGTCATGCAACACTGTACCCATATGAATTTTTTACCATTTTTTTTAGACAGATAAAGCTTTATTTTGGTGGTATTTATTCACCGCTGGGATTTTTATTTTTTTTGCTATGTAAATGAAAAAGTCCACAAATTTGTAAAAAGTGTTTTTTCTTATAAAATTTTGCAAATAAATAATATTTAATCATAAATCTTGGCCAAAATTTATTCCGTTTTCTTTTTAGTAAAAAAAAAAAAAAAAAAAGCCAATTTAGTTTATAACCAAAAATTATAATTTTTAAATATTTGTTTTACATTTGTTTTATTTTTTTTATATGATTTATGTTTTTTTTTTTTACATACTGTCACCCTAGCAGTACAGTGTCACCATGGTGGGCACTGGAGCACATATAGTAATTGGCAACTGGTCAACCGCAGTAGATCTTACTCGATAATATATACATATGAGCATGCCATATAGCCGTAATAAATTATGCTATCCAATATAGCAACACCATCAATTTTACCTGTTAGATTTCAGTCAATGGTCAAGCCCACTTGTTAATAACTGGAAATATACTGCTGGAAATAATTGTTGGCATATAAGTCTGCACCGCCGTTGAAAAAGATACGGTCTTTAACCACTTCCCATCCGGCCCATGTATATAAATGGCCGGATGGGACCAGTGCAGGAGCAGGTGGCCATTTATAAAAGGCCCCCGCATTCACTGCCTGTGCGTGCTCGGCACCGCGATCTGGTGCCCGCTGTGTCCAGAGACCACAGCAAAACACCGATCACTGTACCTCTGTATGAGGTCCCGATTCATATAATCACTGATTGGCCAATCAGTGATCACATGAAAAGTAGTAAGCAAGATGTCAGTTCCTGACATCATTGCTTACTACTTGTGAAATCTGAATGATCACAGAGGTCACATGGTACAAGGCTATTCACAACAGTACCATGTGACAAGCTATGACCAATCACAGCTCTCATAGTATTTCTCAATGGCTGCAAGAATGTAGCCATAGAGAATAAATTATTGCTTTTACAGCCTTTATGGGTGTAAAAGCAATCAGAGTAAAAAAAGAAAAAAAAGATAACAGATATGCAGATAACGATCGTGATTTTTTTTCGGTGTGTTCTACTTACAGTCAGCAGTACTGGCTCCGGCAACTCCATTCAATTTTGATTGGGCGATTTTTACAAACTCACACCTACTTAACTTCCTACCCTCTGAGAAATAGCTTAAGTACAGACAAAGCGCAAGGAACAGAATGACCTTCATATCGATTCACCAAGTTTCTTGAAAAGAGATCTAAAAGAAAAAAAAAAAAAAAACAAGATACCTATATATAAAAGAGTGACCCAAAGCAAAGCATAGACATGTTATAGATGGAAATATAAGCCTTTCAATTAGTTTGACAACAATATTTCTTACTAGGCACCCAAAAATTTTGTTTCATCAATTTAACCCTTTCATGACGAAGGGTAAAAAAAAAAAAAAACTTACACAATCCCCTATATAAACACAATTTTGCAATTTTGACATGTTAAAAACTGTACATATCATCACAACTACTTGGTGTATCCAGGTTTGTTCAGGACATATTGGCCTGTCATTTGTCAGTGAATGGTAATGGATTCCTCAACCACATACCTGTGTGCCCATAGTAACAGAAACAATAGTGTGCAGTTTGCTTCTTTTACCCTTCCTAAAACACACTGATGCTGACTCACACTGATACTAAATTATATTTTTATTTTTAATCCTGCCTAAAATACACTGACCCTGACCATGACCTTTGACCCCACTCTTCACTTTAACCTCCCTAGCGGTCTGATTATGTCAATATTTCTGTGCCCAAAGCGGTAAATTTTTTTTGCATGGAAATATGGTAATTTTTTTATTGTAGGCCTGTAATTTTTAGGAATAACTCACTGAAATCTGTCTGAACAAGAGTCTAGTAAACATCCCGGGTAGGATAAAATTTGAAACAGGAAATCATAAAAATATAATATAAAAATCATAAAAAAATATTATAATAATAATACATTTAATTCAATAATATAATCAAACCAAAAACACTGAAATTTGAAATATAGCGCCGAGTTCGCACATCACTGAGCTTAGTTGCAAAATCGTTTTCAGTGTCTGATGACGAATTTCCCACGAATCATTATCACTCAGTTCTGCAAGTGGTTCTGATTTACTATCGCTGTTCTCTAGCTGGTCTAAAACTGCTTTGACCTAAAGGGACGCTTTTTGGACGGCATGTACATTTCTCAATTTCCAGGCAGAAAGGACAGTAATAATGCAGGCAGGGCACAGGACAAAGCACTCGGGACAAAATGTATGTGAAATGGTTCGATACAGTAATGTTATACTATCAGATTTTAGTGTACTTAGTGAATGTCACTTTTTAACATTTTAAAATTTCCCGCCGGTTCCGGCTCCCGTATGTCCCGACGTCGCAGGGAATGGAACCCAGAAGACAGATGCCGGCATTGGACGGAGGAGATGGTCGGGGATGCTGCAGGGGGGAGATCGCGGGAGCGCAGGACAAGGTAAGTGCTGGAGGGATCCCACAGCAACACTGCAGAGTATTCCTGAGTGTAGCTCCCAGTTACCACTTTTGGTACTGAAAGTTAACCCCGAACTACACTCGGGAATACCGCCAGGAGGGTTAATTCTTCGGCCCCTTCCACATGGAGTGGGATCCATTGGCATCTACCTGCACAGCGGGGAATCTGAGCAGGCGGATGGCTAGTCTGTGTCCACTTCACTTATGTACTGCAGACACAGCCAGCTCTTCTCTATGGGAGGTCGGATGTAAACGGGCCATGTAACGGAACCGGAACCCAGACCGCACTGAGTTTTTTCCGTTATAGCACAACTTCCCCTGTCCGAACACCATCCACGGACCACACCCTTGAAATCCCTCAGGAAAAAGACAGCACCGAGCTCTTCATAATACAGGAAGCCAACAACTTTTATTGTACACAAACAACATGTGTTTTATACAGAGGGCGGGGAAAGACAACCAGGGACAGGAAACACATCATCAGCCCACCCTATCAGTGGGAAGGGCTACAGTATAGGCAGGAAACACCTCATCACCCCTCCCCATCCAACCAGACACAGAACAATGGGATGCAGCCATGCGGCAAAGGATATTGACCAACCCCCACACCAATACACAAACAGTACATCCCATAATAGTTGGCTGGACAGGAAGACAGAGCACCATGGGGGGTAGCACATGGCAAACAGACAATGGACAGCCATGTGGCCTAGACAAAGGAACACACACTATACACAAGACTCAGACATTCACATACACACCCTGTACCCTTAACAGGCACAGGGTGGGTTAAACATAATGAGGGGGACATGAGCTGACCAAGCGGTCCCCCCACCCCCAAAAAGTCACTCCCGTCACAGGCCACCTGTCCATTTACACCAGAGCGCCATCCAATCCGATCTGCCAAATAGATAGAGAAGGGACCCCCATCCATCTATTTTTAATGGAAATGATTGGATGTCAGCATGTTCGTTGACACCTGCTGCTCCATAGAGGAAGACTAGAGGGTCCGTACTGGTCCACCTGAAAAACTGACAGGCAGACCCGATTGGTCTGCTGGTCTGACACTGACCTAGATAAAACCTTGATCTAGCTATTTTACCTTTAGATAAGTGAACTTCTGAGCCTACTATACAATATAAATAAACAAACGAATAGGTGCTGCTGCTGATATCAATTGTGTTCCCACAACAACAACAACAAAATAAATAAAAAGGTGATGAAGTGCTGCTAATGGACATCAATCAGTGCTAGTAAACAATACAGGTGAATAAACTGTGCTGATAATCATAATGTGAATAGATGACCAAGAACATAAATACAAATGAATGAATAAGGTGAATAAAGAGCTTTCAATAAATGAGTTCATAAGTTTCCAAATGTCACATAATGTGACACCGTCCCTACAATTCCATGGTGAATGTGAATTTTCATGCCCCATAATAGTGCCACTCTGCTCACAGAACTCTCACCTCCAACGCATGTAAAAACTATGTTAATATAACATCTCCACACATCCAGACCTCGCGATATCTCCTCTATCCGTTCCTCCTCCCATATAATGAATACTTTTAAGATGGTATTAAATCCCACATCTCAGCAGATACCAGTTAGCTCCAATGCATGTAACACGTATTTAACCATTTGACGCCCGGCCAATAGCCGTATGGCGTCCGGAAAAATGTACTAGCTTTCCGGGAGGCCGCCATATGGCATCATCCCGCACATGCGCAGTTCGCGTGCTTGCAGAGCCGATGACAGATCTGAGTACTGGCCCCCTGTTGCCGGTACCATGTGACCTACTGTGACCAATCGCAGCAGGTCACATGACAGTTGTATACAATGGATGGCTTCACTCATGCCATCCATTGTATACTAGTGTCTAGCTGTGAATGGTCACAGCTAATCACATGCACATGTCATGTGATTAGCTGTGGCCAAATCACAGCTAAACACAACAAAAAAACACTGAATGAATCGATGTCATTCAGGTAAATGCTTGCTTATAGCAAAGTAATTGTTTGCTATAAGCAAATTGTGTAAAAAAAAAAAAAAAAATACTGATCACTTCCCCAAAGTAGTACAAAGTTACTATGGTAACATTGTACTACTTTGGACATAGTGAAATATGAAAAAAAATCTTAAAAAAAGAAAAAAGTAATAAAAATATTTAATAAAAAAAAAAAAAAAATGTTTAAAAAAAAAAATATAATTTTTTTTTCACACTGTCACCAGTCAGTGTCCCTGATCACCGCCATGCCAGTTATATGATGACGCTGTACTGCACTGGTGACAGTATGTAAAAAAAAAAGTGAAAATAATTTTGTTTATTTTTTCATTTTCCGAAAAATTATGACAAAAAAAAACAACTTAAAAAAACTCGCCATGCCTCTTATGAAGTACGTCGGACTGTCTACTTCGCAAAAAAGGGGTCATTTGGGGATATCTGTACTGTTCTGACATTCATGGACCTCAATAAATTAGATTGGCTGTCAGTACTTCAGGATTGATCAATATTCAGATCTATACCATAGTTTGTGAACTCTATAACTTTCCTACAAACTAAAAAATACATCCTAATTTGGGTTATTTTCACCAAAGACATGTAGTAGAATACATCTCGGCCTAAATTTATGAAGAACAATTATTTATTTGCAAACTTTTATAACAGAAACAAAGAAAAATGTGGGTTTTTTTTTTCAAAATGTTTGGTCTTTTTTTGTTAATTTAGCAAAAAATAAAAACCCCAGCAATGATTAAATACCACCAAAAGAAAGCTCTAGTTGTGTGCAGAAAATGATACAATTTTAGTTTGGGTACAATGTTTGTATGACCGCGCAATTGTCATTCAAAGTATGAGAGCGCTGAAACCTGAAAAATGGCCTGGGCAGGAAGGGGTAAAATTGCCTGATATTGAATTGGTTAATAAGACATCTCCATAAATCCGAACCTCGCAATATCTTATTTAGCCACTAGAGGGCTATCCACTTCTCCCATATAATGTATAATAATAAGTAATAATGGAAATCCTTTGCTTCACCGCACTTCAGTACTTCACCCAAATGAAAGAATGCCTCATACAGCGTAGTAAGTCAGTAAAAAAAAACAATATTTGTTAAAATCACACTTACATTGTATATTAAAAATGACAAGCGCTTTAAACAACCATGGATCCTCTAACTTCCTCAAACTGTCTCAGCCCACGCCCTCGTAAATGATGTCTTGAAAGTGATACTGTTAAATGTTTATGCAGAATAAAGTTACAAAAATAAATATATATTCCCTTTCACACACCCCTAGAGCCTTGTCCTCTACCCCCCTTCACACCCCCAACCCCCCATAGCCATGTCCTTTACCCCCCTTCACAACCCCCTCCATCCCAAGGTCAGTCTATCCCCAGTAAGAACCACCCCCAGGTCAGTCCTTTTTCAGTAAAATCCCCCCAGGTCTATCTGTCCGGAGTAAAACCCCTCCCCAGGTCAGCCTGTCTCTAGTAAAATCCCCCCAGGTCAGTCTTTTCCCAGTAAATTCCCCCTCCAGGTCAATCTGTCTACAGTAAATCCCCTCCCCACCCAGGTAAGTCTGTCCACAGTAAAATCCCCCCCAGGTCACTCTTTTCCCAGTAAATCTCCCCCTAGGTCAGTCTGTCCCCAGTAAAATCCCTCCTCCTCTAGGTCAGTCTGTCACCAGGAAAAATCCCCCC